TATATATATATATATATATATAAATATTTATTTTAAAAATGAGAACAGTATAGCCTAATAGAACATTAGCACAAACATATTTACAAGATATCAATAAAATGTTTCTTAATTAGGTGCCAAAAGTTGTCTGCTTCAACACATCCTGAAAGTGATAACCATAAATCTGATTCAACTCTATAAGTAGCAGTTTTCAGATGTAACCGAACTGTTCATCTTTTGCCTTTAAAGGGTTTAGAAGAATCCTCAGCACTGGCAAACGGTATCCACCCTAAAATTCCTCGCTGTAACTCAAGCGAGGGTTTTCTGCTCCTTCTCGTGTTATTTCCATCTTTGGCACGCAGTCTGTTCTAGGCACCTCAATGTGTTGTTGCTTTCCGGTTTTACATTTTTTTCTAAAGCCTAGGTCTGTAATTATCAGGACCGGACTCTGGTCATGCCAACTTGTGCTTGTTTGGAAAAATCCTCCATGAATGGGTGCGCCACACGTCGATGTGACACAGAATGTTGATGGTAAGGCAAGGTGTGACAGATTTTTTACTGCAGTGGGTAGATCAGGTGTTCTCAATGGTATTATCAGGTCCTGCGACATATTTGTAGAACCAACATCTCCACCCAAAACAATAGCTAAAGGAAAAACTTGACAATTATTACAGGGAGGAGAAAAATATTCACCTTAAAGCACTAAAGTTCTTAGTCAAAACGCTGGGTTAAAAACAACAACAACAAACTAAAGCACCAAAACAGTTTCAATTAGTTTTAAGGCAGACCCCCGACCTCTCCATCCTCCTATTTGACACTACTGGTTCTCTCTAAGGTGGGGCAGAGGGCTCGGATGCGGTAACACACTGATATCACAATCAGCAGAGCAGAACGAATAATTCCCGCTACAAACAAAAACAAAACATCCGGAAAGTTGGAGCGCGCGTCTGGGCGCGGGGAGACGCGACTGTAGTTGCGCGCTGAGCAGCGATTTAAAGTGCTTCAGCGCAACCTCTAGAGACCGCAGTCTACTGATGGACACCGGCTTCCTTTGTAATAACTGTAGCATAAATAGAAAACTAGTCCCCGAAATAACATTTCCCAAACAAACCTATAAAACCGGCATTCTTAATGTTAACAGTTCAAAAGACGTCTCTCTTTTAATGTTACCATCTTTAAATGTGTTTACAAACAATACTGAAGTCAGACTCACTCAGGCTGACATGCATTGCACGCCCACACTCAAAACACTGCAGCAGTTCTCAAGACAGAAGCAGCCTCCTCAGACTACGACAGCAGTAAAACAAGTTTGAAACTCCAGAAAAACAGTTCTGTTTATATAACATATGGTAGTCCAAGTATATAAGGTGCTCTTTAAATTCATAAACGCACTGATGGGCGAGAAAAGCGTTCCGCGCTTGCTCTGAGACTGCTGTCAGTCATCTGGATCTCCATAGTAACAGAAAAATTCTTATCAGGTTTTTGCTAACGGCCAAAAAGTGGCCAGGTTATAAATGACAGCGTCAAGTCGATCTAAAATGATTCGCAAGCAACTGTCATATGGATTGAATTTGCTAGTGTAAATGTTTGCACATATTTATACCATATTCTTGGCCCAGCAGGCAGAGGTCGACTGCTGCAAACATCCGCCCATCACGAACTCCAGCTCAGCTGCCCTACGCAAACTTCACTGAAGTTGAATAACACAAGTGAACGCAACGCGACAACCTGAAGAGCGTGTCACGCTCAGACAAGCGGAAAACTCCTGCTAGGACTAGGTGGAAACTGCCTACCTCCGCTGCTTATGGAAGTTTGCGTCGCTGTCTCCAGACGGCTCTTCGCTCTCCCCGGTCGAGCCGTACTCGTCGTCCTCTACGGTCACTTCTCCGATGCCAGGGGCTCCTCCGACGCTGTCCCGTGGCCGCTCCATAACGGCAGCATGTTGCGGCGTCTCGGTGTTTGGCGTCGGAGCCACTTTGAGTTCTCTCTCTGAGAGAAACTGACTTTTCAAAGTAACCGTTAACGTTCCCAAAACAAGCAGCAGCAGCAGGGATGTGCACACGTTTCCAAACTGAAACCCCCTTTCCATTGGGACAAGCGGCACATGAGTAGTTAGGCAATCACATACCAAAATACAGTGTGAATTTAAAAAACTAGACTATAAAAGGCGTTTTAAATTAAATTCGTAGGCTATTAGATCTCTTTCTGTTGTCCTCCCTTAACGTAAACATGCACTCAACAGCACCATGTTATTCCCTTTATACTTGACGTTGCCCGTGCCGTGGTAACGTCAAGCCCCGCCCTGTATCCAAACGCCCATTGGCTGCGCATGGAAGCGAATCCCTGCATTGTGTGCTGATTGGTGCTAGCGCTTGTCAATCTTCCCTGCTCGTCTACTAAGCAGATTTTGATTGCGTCCTACCACTGTCTTTTACAGTGCGGTATGTTGACGTGGTCGGCTCTCCAGCCGCTTCATTCCATTGGGCGCTTTTCTTGTCACTCAGAAATATAAGCGGAAGGAAAGGCAGCCCAGAGCGGGTATGGCCGTCTTCTGAAGTATTTCATTGGCGAGACCGTAGAGTTTTAGCCAATAAAATAATAGTGTTGGCTCCAACATGTTTCATTGGTATGTTTACGGAAGCCGCGAAAGTATTCTAGTCAACCCATTGGTCTAACACGCTGTCAATCGTAATCATCGTTACTGTGATTTCTAACGGTGGGGCGTTGCTAATTCGTTCTGAGCGAAGCTTGATTGGGTAAAAAGTACAAGGATGGAAATACCGACGTGGCCGTTTGTTTGCGGATAAAAAGTGAGGTCATGTTTGATTGTTTTATTTCCGGGACTTTTGGTATGAAGAGTGATGTGAGCATTGGTGGCGCAAATTATAGTAAGTTCAGTATTCTCCTTTAATTTTATTTAATTTTACATTAAGTCACGCCAATTATAGCCGAACAACCATAACACTTCTAAAATAATACATTTACAACTAGTTTAGGCAACTTGAGTATTCCCGTTCACTTTTTGTAGTCGTGAAGGCTGGCCATTGCGCAATGTATATGGCGCCCTCTTGTGGTTTGTTAAATAATCATCTTTTATCCCATGTTTGACGTAACTGAGCCATACTGGTCAAATAAAATGTCAGATGCAAAATAACTAACACAATAGTTTATAGTTGATTGGTCCAGTTTTGATATTTATTTTCAATCTGGAGCACAATATTTGAAAACCTCAGTATCACAGTAAAATTGGTAAAGTAAAACACAAGCTGGTTTCTGAAGTAGTACCATACCTAAAAATCACAGTGACTTCTGTGAAGAGTTTTCATTAACAGAACTGAAAGATCAATAAAAGTACAGAAGATAAGGCTTTCAGCTGTGCCACCAACTCACTGCTGCTTTCATCCCTCGACAACACTGTGCGTGGCCACAGGCACATCAAAAAATTATACAAAAACAAAATCAATATCAAAAGCCGAGTGGCATTTCACAACTTCAAATAGTGTATTTTGTCCAAAGGCAGAATGCTCTGAAATGATTGATCACTGAACTAAACCAACCGCTGTGTGCTGGCAAAGGCCACTAGTTTCGCTTGAGGTTTCACATTGGAGCGTCTGAGGAAATCCGTTTCTGATTCAAAATGATCATATGAACCTACAGAAACTATACTAACGATGAAATGGGGCGTGATCGAGATTTTCTTAAAAGCTGCATGCATTGGTAAGGCTAGCAACTATGCTTTGTGAAAATATACATTTATGGAGGCACAGATGCAAGCCACAATATTCATACATTTTTACAGACAGCCATGTAACACAACATTCATGGCTACGTAAAGAAGCACAGAAGGCAAGCAGACACTGTAGATGTACAGTATGGACAGTCACCATAGACTCCAGCCCAACATAAGCAGAATTGTCCAGACAGAGGGTATGAGAGGAAAAACAGGAATATCTGAAAGGTCCGAGAATCTAATGTTGCATTGTTGTGTAAAAATCCATATTCCATGTGCACAGTATCATGAGAGGTACTGATCAGACGTCTGATGGTTTCTGTAACAGAAAATGTAGGGAAAGAGCTGCCAGAGTCTGTGTATTTGAACGGCACTTGAGGTGTGTGTGCTGGTCTACTGCAAGAGCAGAGGAAGGATCTTCTTAGATGATAGGATGGTCTCTAGTCTTGACACTCCCGTCCTCCATACCGAAGTACACCCGCTCAGCCATCCCCACAAACAAACCAGTCTCAACAACACCTTTAAAAAAAAGAGAGAGACAATTCATTTGTGCTACAATTCAACAGTTTGCAGTTGGAAATAAATATTTTATTCAGCAAAGGCATGTTATATAGTTCAAAAGTCCCAGTAAAGACAGTATTTACAATATTTATAATTTTACCAAAGAGTTATCTACTCTACACTGCTCAAAACTCGCGTTTGAATCATCAGTGGCAAAATGTTTAAATATGAAAACATACTTACAGACTGTAAGTCAGAACAGCCAGCATTGTAGTCTACTCTTCCAGGATCAGGAAACAGTCCTCCATAAAATGTGCTGCACACATCTGAATATTTGGGTTGAACTGTTCTGAAACAGTGTTGTAAATACAACTTAACCACTGATTTCTAGTTGTGTCCTCTTTTGGAAGGCCAAACAAAGTATTTTTGCTTTCGCAACGAAACACACAGCGTCTTCACAATATGGCGGCAGCGGCAGCAACAATAAAGTTACGCGTTATGCAAATCTTCCCACATCGTGACGTAGACATGTGGGGGCGTGTTAGAACGAGCCATTTTAGGTAGGCGTGGTTGACTCTTAACTTTTATAAAGAATATCTCTTTGGGTTTGAGACTTTAGTCTTTGCAACTTTAGGGATCTTATCTATTCACGAACAGCTTGTAACACTCCAAAGAGAAAGGAAAAAATT